ATTTCCTATAAATGTACTCTTCTATCTCAGTTTCTAAGGGTGTGTCTTGATACTTGTTCCTAAAAGAATATTTCAGTGTTGATATTATTCACATCACTATAAGACGAAAAAAGTTATTGAAATGTAAAAATTGAGAAAAAGCTTATTAAGATGTGCAGTACACCGCCCCCTAGAGGAACACATTGCAATTGTTTTGACTGAGTTTAAAATTCAGAAATGTGAATAAATTAATTTAAAATACACAGTCTGACATTTCAACCTCAAAGGGTGTGTCTTGTTGCTGGTTCATAGAACCAACATTTCTATGTATCTTTTACTTTCCTAAGAACATTCGGATACACGCTATTGAATCAAATTCAAACCTATTAACATATCATTTTTGTAAACATACAGCATTTTATCTCATCTTCAAAGGCTGTGTCTTGTTACTGGTTCATAGAATAACAGTTAGACATCGGTTGAATTTGCAGAACTATAACACACCACATGCTATTGAAATGTAAACACATACGTCAATTAATAAAAAATACAAATACTCTTTTATTTCAGCTTTATGGGGTGTGTCTTGTAATTGTTTCCTATAATGACATTTAGATGTTGGTTTTCTTCACAAAAGTGTAACACAACAAAAGCTATTGAATTGTAAAAACTGAGAAAGAGCTCTGGAAGCTTCCCAAAGAGTGTGCAGTACACCGCCCCCTAGAGGAACACACTGCAGTTGCTTCGACTGAGTTTGATATTAAGAAATGTGAATAAATAAATAAAAAATACACAAAGTCTGACATGTCAACTTTAAAGGGTGTGTCTTGTTACCGGTTCATAGAACAACATTTACATGCTGGTCTCATGCACAGAACTATAACACAACGCACAATATTTAAATGGAAACAAATACATCTATTCATTTCTAATAAATACGCTCTTCTGTCCCAATTCTAAGGGGTGTGTCGTGTTACTGGTTCATGGAACAACATTTACATGCTGGTTTTATTCGCGAAACTGCAACACAGCAAAAGCTATTGAAATGTAAGGATTGAGCAAAAAACTCACAAAGCCTTTCACAGATTGTGCAGTACACTGCCCCCTATAGGAACATGTTGCATTTGTTAAGACTGAGTTCGAAATTCAAACTTTTATAAATTAATTTAAAATGCATACAGTTT